CCCCTGGCTCTGGCAGTAGCTTTTAGGCGTACCGGTTCTGTGTGTCCCCTCAGGTCAGATGATGGACCTGCTCTTCGTGGAGAAGGACCTGGTGACCTCGCTGAAGGACTACATCAGAGCCGAGGAGGACAGACTGGAGACAATCAGAAGGTCTGCTGCAGAACCTCAGAGTGGGTCGACAGAACCGGTTTCACTGTTCAGATCTCACAGATAATGGTAGTCCTGCAGGTCCGTGTGGATCCACAGGACGTGGGTCTGAGATCAGATAAAAGACAAATCTCAGGATTATTGTTCTGATATCAGTTTGATGAAAACTCCTCGTCAGAAAGAAACAAAAAATAACTTGTTTTATTCTGATGAAACTAAAGAAACGTCTGTTTGTATTCAGATGGGCGGACAAACTGGACCTGCTCTCAGCTGCGGCCCTGCAGGACCCCGAGGGGTTCCTGGGTCACCCGGTGAATGCCTTCAAGCTGATAAAGAGGCTGAACACGGAGTGGGCGGAGCTAGAGAGCCTGGTGCTGACGGACATGTCTGACGGTGAACCACAGCTTGATCGTAATTTAACCACAGCAAAAACAAAATGGCCACCAGGATAAACCTCCCGCCTCTCCTGTTTTCTGACTCAGTGTTCGTCTCCAACCTGACCATCCAGAGGCAGAACTTCCCCAACGACGACGACCAGAGCGGAGCCGCCAGGGCTCTGATGAGGCTGCAGGACACGTACCGGCTGGACACCGAGACCGTGTCCACCGGACTGCTGCCAGGTGAGCCGAGCCGCGGGGGGTGGACTCAGATCATCCTCAGACAGGAAGTGATGACAGAAACAAACGGTATGACAGAAACGTCAAACACAAAAACATAACGTCCCTGTCCTCAGGCTCGTCCCCGCTGGCCTCCATGCGAAGCGTCCTGACCGTAGAAGACTGCTTCGACCTGGGGAAGGTGGCGTACTCGGAGGTGGACTACTACCACACAGAGCTGTGGATGGCTCAGGCCCTGAAGCAGCTGGACCGGGGGGAGACGTCCGGGACTGTGGACGCTGTCTCCATCCTGGACTACCTGAGCTACTCTGTGTACCAGCAGGGGGCGCTGCAGAAGGCACTGGACTTCACCCGGAGGCTGCTGGAGCTCGGTCGGTACCAGCACAAACTCTGTGACAGGCCATTTGAACATTAAATCAGCACATTCCAGATCTCTTTCATTGCTTTATGATGAGTCACTTTAGTTCATTTAGATATCACTAATTATATTTTGATTAGTAAAATACCCATTTGAGATTTCTCCAATTACACTCTGAGTGGGATATGACGTCAAATTTATCATTAAGTTGTACGGAGGCTCCAATTCACACTATCATAAAGTGTATTTTAAAGAGTCAAACATACAGTTCTAGATATCGCTTAGTTAGTTTTGCAGAGTCATTATTTTCTTTGAAGATATCTCACTTTTTATTCTGGCTAGTCATAAATGGAATTAAAGATATCTTAAATAAATTTGCAGATATCAGGTATAAGATTCTATTGTGCAAATTAAATTGCAAATACCTTGAAAGCAAAAAATGCCTTGAGAAAATCAACTTAGAGATATCTAGAATTGTATTTTTATTGAGTCAAAAGGCTTTTTAAGATATCCAAATGAATTACAGATATGAATATGTTTTCATCTAGACAGTTTTTCTGTTTAATGTCTTGAATAAACATTCTTACTGGTCAAAACATCACAGATTTATGTGACATTTTGGTGGATATTACAGAAAGTCAGTCAAAGCAGATTTTATGTTAAAAATGGCCTGCCATACAAACACAGGGTGTCCCGCAGGGATGAGTCATCGGTCCCTTATTACTGTGATGATGGTTTGGAACCAGTGACTCAGCAGACCCTGGGTTAGAAAAGACAGGCATCGATGCTTGCAGGATTCAGGATTTAGTGTCATAAAAACAGGAAGAGGTTGGAAACTGGAGTTTCAAATTAAAACTCATAGATGCTTTTATAGTGATTTAAAACCTAACCTTAAAAACTTTAAATGGACCTGGTACCACCTAATCCTGGGTCGGTTTGTTTATAGAGATTAGGCCTCCCATCAGAGTGGGGTTGTGTAGAGCAGGTACGATCGGTAAGTGTTTTACCTGCAGCAGAGAGACGAGTCATTGACCTGAGGTTGTGATTCTGCTTGGTTAGACCCGACACACCAGCGAGCCAATGGGAACCTGAAGTACTTTGAGTACCAGCTGTCCAAACAGGAGAAGGAGGAGGACCACCAGGAAGAGGAGGAGGAGCAGCGGAGACGAAGAAGGGAGACCCACAGTCGCCAAGACGACTACCTGCCGGAGCGGAACAAGTACGAGCGACTGTGTCGTGGCGAGGATATCCAGATGGTGAGCGCGCACACACACACAGAGACACACACACACACACACACACACACGCACACGCACAGTGAGGTAAGTTATGCACGTAAATGTGTTAGGTTAACTTATGCACATAAATGTGGCGCGGAGCTAATGCTAATGCTAAGCTAAAACTAAATCTCCATATTTCCAGGTACCAGCTAGGGTTGAGCAAAATCAGATTGTGAAATTAATCGTCAGAAAATTTGTCACCGATTAATTTTAGGCACTTGGTCATGACTGGGATTATTGACTTGTATAAATCACTGTGGTGTTAGGCTAAGGCTAATGCTAACATGGAGCTAACACATAGCTAATGCAGTTAACATTAACACTACATACCAGTTATTATTTAGCACTTGGTCATGACTGTGATATGTAGTCGCTACACTAATGCTAACACAGAGCTAAGGCTAATGCTAACATGGAGCTAACACATAGCTAATGCAGTTAACATTAACACTACATACCAGTTAATATTRGGCACTTGGTCATGACTGTGATATGTAGTCGCTACACCAATGCTAATGTGGAGCTAAGACAGAGCTAATGCTAAGTTAACATTAATACTACATACCAGTTAATATTAGGCACTTGGTCATGACTGCAATATGTAGTCGCTACACTAATGCTAACGCGGAGCTAATGCTAATGTGGAGCTAACACATAGCTAATGCTTACATTAATACTACAAACCACTTAATATTAGGCACTTGGTCATGACTCCGATATGTAATCGCTACACTAATGCTAACGCGGAGCTAATGCTAATGCTTACATTAATACTACAAACCACTTAATATTAGGCACTTGGTCATGACTCCGATATGTAGTCGCTACACTAATGCTAACATGGAGCTAATGCAAACATGGAGCTAACACATAGCTAATACTTACATTAACACTACATACCAGTTAATATTAGGCACTTGGGCATGACTGCTATATGTAGTTGCTACACTAATGCCAATGTGGAGCTAAGGCTAATGCTAACGTGGAGCTAACACAGAGCTAATGCTGTTAACATTAGCACTAAATACCAGTTATTATTTAGCACTTGGTTATGACTGCGATATGTAGTTGCTACACTAATGCTAACGCAGAGCTAATGCTAACACTAACGTGGAACTAACACATAGAAAATGCTTACATTAACACTACATACCAGTTAATATTAGGCACTTGGTCATGACTGCGATATGTAGTCGCTACACTAATGCTAACGCATAGCTAATGCTAATGCTAAGCTATTACTAACCCTCCCTAGAGTCAAAGACATGGAAGTGCTGTCATCATCAGGTAAATGCCACAATCAATCCAACCCTAAACCACACACACACATGTCTGTCTTTTGACCTCACAGATGCTTTAGGCTCCGCCTTCTTCCCCATCAGACTCCTTGCAGATGGAGCCGCCTTTTCTGCCGCTACCACGACAACGGGCGCCACCCGAGGTTCGTGATCGGGCCGGTGAAGCAGGAAGACGAGTGGGACCGCCCCCACATCGTCCGGTACCATGACATCGTGTCGGAGAAGGAGATGGAGAAGGTGAAGGAGCTCGCCAAGCCCCGGGTGAGACGGTGTTTACACCCTCTGTTAGCAAAATATCATCAAGCAGTGGGCACATTCATGGACCTCGTTCTGTCAGTACCATCCTGAGTCCATAAAGACCTGTCCCTGTCTTGTGTTTCCTGTCTTTGAATCCTGTCCAACCCCATGGACGGACAATCAGTTGAGACGAGCAACGGTTCATGACCCTCAGACAGGAAGACTCACCACAGCTCATTACAGAGTGTCCAAGAGGTGAGAGACACTTGGACACTGATGCAACCTCTGTATCGGGACATGGACATGAAGACTGGTAACCTGAACTGACCACGACTCTATCCTCTGTCCATCAGCGCTTGGCTCGGGGCGTTTGAACATCCGGTTGTGGATCAAATCAACCAGAGGATCCAAGACGTGACGGGTCTGGATGTCAGCACCGCAGAGGACCTGCAGGTAACGTCTCACCTGACCGATTAAAGACACCTGTCCTCTCTGATTAGATATGAAGTGTGTTTGTTTGTTTGTTTGTTTGTTTGTTTGTTTGTTTGTTTGTTTGTTTGTTTGTTTGTTTGTTTATTTATTTATTTATTTATTTATTTAACCTTTATATATCCTGGCAGGTTCATCACAGAGTTGTTGTTGTTTGTGTTTGATGCAGGTGGCAAACTATGGTGTAGGAGGACAGTATGAACCTCACTACGACTTTGGACGGGTAAATCTGTACTAATAATAATAGTAACAATAATAATAATAATTTCATTTATTTTATTAATTTAATTCAAAACATCAAAATAGATTTCAAGTTGGTCAACTAAATGTGGAGAAGATGTGAGATCATGTATGATGGATGGATGGATGGATGGATGGATGGATGGATGGATGAACAACAAACTCTCCCTGTTCTGGTTCTGTTGCAGAAAGACGAGCCCGACGCCTTTGAAGAGTTGGGAACCGGGAACCGGATCGCCACCTGGCTCCTCTACGTCAGTCCTCTCCTCTGTGTTTGTTTGTTTGTTTGTTTGTTTACTTCCTGTTGACATAACCCGCCACCTCATCCTTCCTGCTGCAGATGAGCGACGTGCAGGCGGGCGGCGCCACAGTCTTCACGGACATCGGCGCTGCCGTTCAGCCAAAAAAGGTGACTGGACCCGCCGGCGCCGGTTAATAAACAGAAACTAAAGTGAAACGTTTGTTTTCAGGAAGTGAAGAGTTTCAAAGTGAAGAAGAAGAAGAAACTGGTCTTTTTTAAACACGTTGACCCAGTCATTAATCAGCTGCTGGTTGCAGGGCTCGGCCGTGTTCTGGTACAACCTGCACCCCAGTGGAGAAGGAGACTATCGGACCCGACACGCCGCCTGTCCGGTTCTGCTGGGAAACAAGTGGGGTGAGTCCAACACACCTGAGAATAACCTGGTTGTGTGTTTGAGATCATGAGGTGCTAGAAGATTCTTTCAGCTGTTGTAGAAGCAGGAGGTCAGAGATTCTCTGAGAACAGATTCATCAAACTGAACAGAAACAAGTTCTGTCGTCTTGTTCTACAGTTTCCAACAAGTGGATCCACGAACGAGGACAGGAGTTCAGAAGGCGCTGTGGCCTCCGTGAGACCGACTGACCCCAAATGACCCCTGACCTAACCCTCTAAAGCAGGGGTGGGCAATCCTGGTCCTGGGGGGCCGCAGCCTTACATGTTGTTTCTCTGCTCCAACACACCTGATTCAGTCACTGAACTACCTCTTCCAAGTTCTGCAGTATGGAGGACTGACACTGACATAATTAGAAAAAAAAAGCAGAAATACATAAATGAACCTTTAAATAAATAAATTCATTTAAAATGCACCAAATAAATTAAAAAGGAGAACTTTACCTCATGTTTTATATTTTAATTGACCTTCATATTTATTTTTCCAGCTTAGTTCCAATAAATTATATATTTTAACCCAATTAAAATTTTAATTAGGGCTGTCAAATGATTAAAATTTTTAATCTATTTCAAGGTAGCTGTGAATTAATCACGATTAATCACTATTAATCTTAAACTTAATATAAAACTTTATTGCATATTGGTAAAATAAATTACTTGAGTTATTACTACTACATACTACTACTATAGTACTCTATACTATATAAGCCATAAGAAGACAAAAAGAAAAAAACTGTACATAACGTGTTACACCTGGAGTTATTTTTAAACATTATTTATTTACCTTTATTTATCCAGGTAAACTGTTTGAGAACCACTTCTCATTTACAAACATAACCTGGCACTGAGTGCATTGCAATATACAAACCTACATATTCAGCCATAGTAAAGTGATTGTAAATTTTAATCACGATTAAAATTTTTAATCTATGCCCATGCAACACTAAAATTAATCAGAGTTAACTCGATTAATTTCACAGCCCTAATTTTAATGTTTTTTAATATATATTTTACATCATTTTTCCTTTTACTTGTACATGCATTTGTGTCTCTTGAAAGCTTAAATTGAATTATTTTTATAATTTTGTCCAACAAGTCTTTTTATTTCTGTGTTGCATGTTTGTGCTGCTGCAGTTTAGCTGAAAGTTTAGTTAAAAATAAATGCACAGGTAATGTTTTCCTCCTTGCCTTTGTTTTAAACTAAACTTTAAACTCTTAGCTAAACTGAGGTGGCACAAGCATGCAACACTTAGAAATAAAAAGACTTGTTGGACAAAAATATAAAAATAATTAAGCATAAACATTTAAGACACAAATGCATGTAGAAGTAAAAGGAAAAACAATTAATATATATTTAAAAAACAGTAAAATTTCAATTACGTGTTCAAAGATGTAGACTAATTTATTGTCACTAACCTGGAAAAATAAATATGTAAGTCAATTAAAAATAAAACAGGAGATAAAGTTCTCCATTTTAATTTAATTGGTGCATTTTAAGTGTGTTTAATGGTTCATATAATTCTGCTTTTATTTCTAATTATGTTACCTTTGGTCCTCCGTACTGCAGAAGACTGATAATCATCTATTCATTCATATCAGGTGTGTTGGAGCAGAGAAACAAGTAAAACATGCAGGGCTACGGCCCCCCAGGACCAGGACTGACCATGCCTGCTCTAACAGACCCCGTCCCTCTAAATGACCCCTGACCCCATGACTTAGACGTCTTCCTCTGCTTCCTGCTGCTGAACAGAACTTATTGGATCTGACACTGGATTTATCATTGTTGCACTGTATTCTCCCTAAAGGGGGCGGAGCTTCACTGATACATTGCTCCGCCCTGTTTGCTGTAATTGGTTGCGTTTATCAGAGTTAGTAGCTGAAGTTTAGCTGATTCAACCCAACTGTTACAGCAGAACCTTCAGGGTTCTGCAGAGCTTTCTTTGTTCTCCACAACAAACTCCTGCATTTTATTTTGACATCGCGAAGCTGTTGCAACAAAGATGCTCTTATTCTGAAAACTGAATCAGCAGAAATGTTTCTAGTTTATTTAAAAGATAAGAAAATGACCTCATCCTGTTTGTTCCTGTGGTTCCAGCCCAGTTTTCCACCAATACGCTCCGTGTTCCTCTGGATTTGTGTATTTTTCTGTATTTCTTCATATTTCTGCGTATTTCCTGTTTTTCTGTGTATTTTCTGTGTGCTCAGGCTGAAGGTCGTTGACTGCAGGAACAAACAGGTGAACATTTGAACCGCTGATGTAACACTAATCATTCAGCTCCATCAGTTCTGATGCTTTTATTTGAACTGTTTGATCTTAAAACGATATGAAATTAGTTTAACAAACGAGTCGGAGCTCAGATGAAGGAAAACAAGCCTGCTGAGAAATGTTGCTTTAAGGTTCTTAAACACAAAGTTTTAGAGTTTTTATCATGAATCTGCTGAATGTTCTGCTCTGGTGGTACTGGTTCTGAATCATGGCCCTGTTGATCATCTGTAACCTGAGGTTCTGTTACGACGTGTTCCTGATTAGAATTAAAACACTCCTGAAACACAGGCGGATGTTTTTGTCTCGTCTTTTAAAGCACACGTGTCAAAGTCGAGGCTCGCGGGACAAATGTGGTGGATTGGTCAAGTTATTTTCTTTTTTGCTATCCAAAACAGAAAATGAAACTCAAATCATTTTTAAAATTTCGTTCATCCCTTTTTGACACTAAGGAGAAATGC